GGCAGGGGCAGGGTGATCCCAGAACACTGGTGGAATGCTCAGGTTGGGGCTGTGCTGGGTGTGGTGGGCAGGGGCAGGGTGATCCCAGAACACTGATGGAATGCTCAGGTTGGGGCAGCCCGGGCTGTGCTGCAGCTTTGCTGCTGGGGAGAGTCAGTTGCTTTTAGTGGTAGCAGCCATAGGCAGTGGGCTATGGAATGTGTGTGCTTTGGCCTGAGGTGGCAGCTGCAGGTGAAGTAGCATGTCCTCAGGTCACTTGTAGTGGTCCCATTACCTCAGGCAGCAGGGTTGCTGCCATTGCCTTGTACTTTGGCCCTGGTGCTGACACAACAGCAGTGGCAGTTCCTGGGGAGTCTGTCCTCCAGGTTCCTGCAAATGCACAGTGGCCCTGCTGCGGGAGATGGTGAGGTTGTTGCCAGTGACTTGTGGTTTGACTCTACTGTGGCAGCCACTAATGGCAGTGGCTTCTAGTGGGGGTAGTCTGATCTCAGGGCACATGAAAATGCACAGTGGTCCATAGCTAGGAGTAGTAGTGTTATTGCCAATGGCTCCCGATTTGGCCCTGGCAGCAGTAGCCAGAGGTAGCAGTGGCTGTGAACAGAGGATGTCAGTGGGGCTCCAGAGATGTCAAAATGCAGGGATCGATGGACCCCATGGCAGGATGCAGAGTAGTGGGGGTTGGGCTCTTAAAATGACACCAGGTATGGCCACTTCGTGTTTTTCCCTTTGCAATTAATAAGAATCTGGTGGGGAAATACTTAGAGTTTATGCAAATTGTTTCTCATCAAATTTTTACTCTCTAACATTGGACTCATTAATGATTCTTTCCTGAAACAATTATCATGAGTTACCACATAGTGACTTTTCTAGTTGTCATTTTACTAAAAAGAGAGTTTTGCCTTCTCCTTCATTTAACTGTTTCTGCATCTGTCAATTTATATCCATATCGACTTGGAATCCTGTTCAATGGGTTATGATCCATAAGAATCATTATTCGTTTTGTTCCTTATTTTCTTAAACTGTGAAGATGGTAAAATTGTATGGGTGGCAGAGAATGTGGGGAAAGATGGCTTTGAATCCTCCTACTTCATTTGGGGGTGTGCCAAACAGCAGGCCCAGAGGATAAGTATTCATGTGGTTTAACCAGCTTAACAAGGACCAACATAAAAGAGAAAATAGCTGTGTATTATTCTAAAATATATTGTTTCCTTTCTGTTCAGGAAATAAAAAGGATCAGTTGGAGGTAGTTTAGTCATTAAGGGCACTACAACTTCCTCTCTTAACTTTTAGCAGCTGGAGATGTTCGTTGTTTTGTGTTTGATGGTGTTTGTTACATATATTGAAAGTGAATCGGAAAGGAGATTTCAGTATCACTGCCTTGGCACAAGATGGCAGCAGTCAGCCATTGATGTTGCAGCTCAAGGCCCTACTGATTTTAAATTAACACTGCCTTTTGTTTTTGCAGGGACTTCACTACTAGTGCTAGTAACATTCAGATTGACAAAACTAAGCCTCTGTGGCACAACTATTTCCTATGTGGATTTAAAGGAATTCAGGTAAATTGGTTTATAAGGCACCTATTGGCAGTTGAGATTGTAATACACACTGTGTCAGATTTATTATTTTTTTTACTATGTCATTTATGTCTCATTACAATATTAATTGATGTTTCTGTTGTGTTTTGTTGGTTTATAGTTTAGAGTATGGAAAAGATGTGACAGTTTTGGGTGGTGGTCACAGTGGGCAGTAGTAGTCTATCATATAAGCTGGCTGTACAAAAATCAGGTGCATCTGACAAATATGTTTTTTTAAACTTCTTTGTTCAAATTTACCTTGAAGATATTTTTTAGTAATATTATTCCCACTTTATTCTTGGGATATATAAGAGTAGAGCCTCCATAGTTGATCATCTCTCTACATTGACCATCTCCTTAAGTTGACCTAATTTTCAGAAACTGGACATGCACCACGTGTACCTATTAGTATAGCAGGCCTAGTTCCTTATGTTGACCAGTTTGTTACAATGCCTTGGGTAGTCAACTTACAGAGATTCTACTGTATATAATAAGATTTACAGTCTGACAGCCCACATTTGAATCTGGCCTCTACTCAGGTTAATTTATCTGTAAAATGATGTCATTACTATTCTGATTAAGAGTTATTACAAGAATTACACAGCGCTTGACACTAGGAGGCATTTGATAAATGGTAACTAATATTGTTATTACTACTTTGAATGGGGTTAAAAAAACGATGTAGTGAAATGTATTAGTTTATGTATTTTTCTAGAAACATTGAATAATTTACCTTAAAAATATTTATTATGTGTAAGAACAATAAAATAAAATATCTCCACTTTAATTATTTAAAAAGTATGAAGGTCAAAAAGAAAAGTGATATTTGCTATTTTTAGAACCACGTTTCTATTTTAGTATTTATTTTAGATGCCATGTGACTCTTGTGTAGAATCATAGGTAGGATGTTAAGAGATGGATTTTGCCTTTGCCAACAAAAAGCAATGAAACAAACTAGCTCTTTTTTTTTTTTTTTGAGACAGAGTCTCACTATGTTACCCTGGGTAGAGTGCTGTGGCATCACAGCTTACAGCAACCTCAAACTCTTGGGCTTAAGCGAGTCTCTTGACTCACTCTCCCAAGTAGCTGGGACAACAGGCGCCCACCCAACTACAACCAGGCTATTTTTCGGTTGTTTGGCAGGCCCAGGCTGGATTTGAACCTGCCAGCTCTGGTGTATGTGGCTGGCGCCCTAGTCACTGAGCTACAGACACTGAGCTACTAGCTCATGTTTTGGAAAATGGTGGGTTTTTAAATTAGAGTTATCATATTCATTTCTTTCTTTCTTTTATGTTTGTGTGTTTTTTCCTGTTAGATACAGGGTAAGAACTTATAGGAAATGGTATGAGTAGGTTTTAAATCTTCAAATCATTTGGCTTGTCTTATGCATTAGTGGGAATTACAGTATTTGAAAGCATTTGCCTGGCAAGTGCAATTTGGTCTACCTTATAACAACATGCCTTTTTGTAGCATATGGGTAAAGTGGCCTAAGTAATGCATATTGCTTTATGCTGTTATTGAGCATTTCAGATTTTAAAGCTTTCCTCTTTGGTTTGACAAATTATCTGCAAAAACAGGCATATACAATGAAATTTTGGCAGAAAAGCAATTTAAATGTTAGCCTGTTCAGAAACCTTCAAATTCAAATACTAGAAAGCCTCAGAGGATAATCTATTTATATTAAATTGAACATGTTATCCTTTTGGGGTAGAGCTATTACAGAATTTGGCACAATCCATTTGCATTTGAATCTGTTGTACGTTTAATTTAAACATTGCGTGATAAGTTCATAAGTATGAGTCACATTTAAGATACCCTGTGGATCAGTTTATAGTTAAATATATAGCATTCTCTAAGATTTTTTGTTTTTTTTTTTTAGCAAGCTGTCTGATGTTCTGTATGAAAGGACATTGGCAGTGGCAGTGTTTTAGTTTATAATTTGTATTTCTGGAAGGAAATTTTTAGATTACTTGAAATCAGGAAGAGAAGTACATCCAACTGAATCTCCTCTTTTGTGGTACATGAGTTTTGCCAACTAGGAAAAAAAAATTAAGGAAAAAAAAGTCTTTTATTTGCAGAGTTGTTACTTTGGTTTTTCTAATTAGTTTCTTGAAATTTCTCCCTAGAATAATATGTATGATGAAATGCATAATTAGGTAATATAATACTGTTTCATACTTTGGTCTTGAGTCATTTGAATAATTTGCAATAATGATGGTACTTTTTCTTGAGGAGGAGGTGGATTTAAAAAAAAATTCTAGACCACAAAGGTTATGCTATGATATTATTCAAAGTGTCTTAGCCCTAGATATTCATGTAAGTAGACTAGAGCTTTCTATCTTTAAATCAGAATGTGATTATTTCTTTGGGCTTTCCTATTTGTAGAAATGGAGCTTTCCTGCTTCATTTAGAGTCTGCATTCTCATTTGTGACTGAATTCTAATTTGGCTGTCTTTAAAGCTGCCATATGGCTAAACCGTATCTATAAACTCTAGCAAAAATCTGGATTTTCTCATATAGCTGACATATTAAATCACAGTGACAGTTTGCTGGCCCAGGTTTCTAATTGCAGTGGAGAAGTTCTCAAACAGGAATTAGAGACCTGGACCCTACTCCCAGCTTCCTATGTGTGATCTTGGGAAAGTCTCTTAATCTCTTGGTGCCTCAGTTTTTCCATAAGAAAAATAAAACTGAGAAAATTTAGGACTCTTTATCTTTAAAGGACATCTGAAGTAAGACACTCCTTAAAAACAAGCCACTTCTTGGGGACTAGACTTTTATAATAACAGAATAATGGAAATGTGCTACATAGAGCTTTGACTTACCTCATGGATAATTGTGTATTTCTTGTTTTGCTACTTGACAAGCTGAATTATAATTGTTTTCTATTTTTTCCATATTTATTCAAGTTAATTAATATTTAAGAAAGAATACTCAAGACAACTTTAGGAAATGGATCAGTAGCTTTTTGTTGAATAAAATAAAAAGTAATCTTCAGATTACCTTATCTTATGGCCAAGAGCCATCAAATAAAATGTTTTGTATAGCCTCAACTAAATTGAATTGCACAAATAGTTTTTATAACTATTAGAATAAGTCTATTGCTGCACTTCTGCTTTCTGGAGAATGAAAGAATATTTCACTACTCCTTGAATCCAACACTGAAATTAATATTGCTGTTTTTCCTTATATTCTTAGGAACACTTTGGTCTTAGTAACTTAACTGGAATGAACTGCTTGGTAGATGGAAATATCCCACCAAGTTCTGGCCTCTCTAGTTCCAGTGCTTTGGTCTGTTGTGCTGGGTTGGTGACCCTTACAGTCCTGGGAATGAACCTGTCTAAGGTAACTATTTTTGAGAGTAAACCTCACAGACCCTTTCCTTTCAGAGGTACTAACATTCAGATCTCAAAATCAGAATGCCTTCCTTGATTGGAAAACTCCATCTTACCTAACAGGACTGCACACATGGGCAAACCTTGCAAGTACTATTTGTGATAAATCACTATGAGGTTAATGATATCCTTCAACCAGTGAGTGAATAAATCTCTAAATAACTTTATTAAAATTCTCTTGATTAAATATGGAGTTGGCATAGACATCTTTCTAGAACACCTCATTAACAGGTGAAATTTAGAGGACGAAATTCTAGGAATCATTGTTGGGCTTGTTTATTTTCACCCAAAACCTTAAATTAAATATTTGACAAGCAGTGGGTAAAAAGGGTAAAGACCAGGTAATAAAGGAAGTGAACTGTTTATGCCAGCATGTTAGTCACTGAAACAAACTTCTAAAAAATACTGCTTTACAAAGAGGAAATGGTTATTTAAAGGAAATATAAATTCTACAAGAGGTTGGAAAGTCTCAACTTTATAAGTTCATGTAGATCTCTGACTTAGCAGTTCAGAGCTGGTATACTTAGCTTTGATTAACGCTTTGGCATTCTGGGTCAAACAAAATGTTATCATAGATTCTTTGTACCCCTTGTACATATACTACCAAGTTTGTAGATGATTTGGGAACAGATTGGGAGTGAAACAGATCAAGAGAAAGTCAGCCATATGCTTAGTTTTTTAAAGTGTGTTTAAACTTTCAGTTTGAAAATTTTGTATGTAGGAGGAAAAGGAGAAACGGAGAAAACAAAGTTTCAGATGGAATTCTTCTCTTTAGCTTTTATCTATAATTACATATTAGTTTGCCCTTGACAAGCAATGGCTTATTTGGGGGCACGGTAGCTTACTTACTCTTTATTTTTTGAGAGAAAGCAAGGGAAAGGAAGTCCATATGGAAAATATGTTTCTGGCTCAGCGCCTGTGACTCAAATGGCTAAGGCACCGGCCATGTACACCTAAGGTGGCGGGTTCGAATCCAGCCCGGGCCCGCCAAACAACAATGATGACTACAACCAAAAAATAACCAGGCGTTGTGGCGGGCACCTGTGGTCCCAGCTACTTGGGAGGGTGAGGCAGGAGGCTCGCTTGAGCCCAGGAGTTGGAGGTTGCTGTGAGCTGTGATGCCACAGCACTCTGCCCAGGGGGACAGCTTGAGGCTCTGTCTCAAAAAAAGAAAAAAAGAAAATGTGTTTCCCATGGTAGAACTTTTAATCTGATTGTTTATTCATTTCTTTGTTCATCATTCAATCATTGTTTATTTAGTGTTTGCTTTGTGCTGGGTAATGTTTGAGGCTTTAGAAATACAGGTATGATCTTAAACCTCACCACAGCTATGATTTAAAAGGGAAGTAGAGATAAGTGAATAGGCAACTGTAATAGCGTATAGTAAGAGGATAAGCAGTACACTATGGAGCAGATTCAATGCAGACTTAGAGTTTTCCATGTTAGTCAAGAAATAATGATAGTGAGGAAAAATTGGTATTTTGAGATAAACAGTCTCCCATTTTCCCTTTTTTGTTTACAAAGTAAGACATTTCCCGGTCTTCTCAAAAATCACTTGTTCTTATTTTTCTGACATTGCCTGGAGAACAAGTGCTGAGATTTCAGTAACAGAGTTTGTCATTCCCTGGTAGGCTCACTGGCCTCCTGATAGGCATCCTGCTTAGGAAGCAGGAGCAGGCCCAGGTCAGAGCCAGTGGGTCTGCACTGGAAGGAGTGGCTTCTTTTTGGAGTGAGAGAGTATGGGAAGGACCCAGCAGCTACCTGGGCATGTTTTAGTCTTAGGGAACTTCTAGCTCTATCTCCCTGAGTAGATGCAGCTCTCCACAACCTGAACTGAGTTGAGGAGCAGGAAACAGATTTGGAAAGGGTCCAGATGCCAGACCTTTTGTTGAGTAAGTTCCCTGGAGTGTACGCTGAGACCATGATTCTACCATTTGGGGGGTTTTCAGACCTTCCTGGTTTCCCTGGAGTGTACGCTGAGACCATGATTCTACCATTTGGGGGGTTTTCAGACCTTCCTGGTGGTTTTGTTTGTTTTCAGGTGCCTTTTAGGGGTGGAAGTCATGAGGTTAGTGGAACTAGGGAAGTGGGTTGGAATTTGGAACTCATTTGCGGTTCCCAGACAGCAGGGGGACTAGGCCCCTTGGGAAGGCTTTACCTTACAGTTCTGTAGGGCATTTGGGGTACTCAGTTTGAGATACTGTTTGGGGTGGTGTTTTGTACTCTTTGGCTTCTCAGTTGTTTGATAGGCCTTGGTATTTTGTGTTTTCTTTTGGTGGAAAAAAAAAGTATTTTGGGGAGAATTTTGTCTGAGTGGTTGCCTTATAGCTATATACCTATGGCTAAGGAGAATGGTTTTATTTTAATTCAATTGGGGAAAAGTGGCTGCTGAATGAAACTTTGAAGTATGACTTGAACTTACAGACATCAAGAAAAATTCAGACCTCAAATGGTCAACCTGCCACTATAGAGTTCAAATGTTAAGTCTCTCAAACTCTTTCTCTCTCTTTTTACTAACTTTTCCTACTAATGTTGAGATAAACTCATTGTTCACAGAGTTATATTGCTATCTCATGGCTAGAGTTCTAAAGTAAAATCTATTGAAATTAAAAAAAAAATACTGATGGCATAATAATGCTGACATCAGATAAGCGTGTGTCTGGTGGAGAGAAGATCATGTAAAAATATGTAAGTAAGAGCATTTGTGGTTTGTTGGAGGAACTAAAAGGGACTCAGTATGACTGGATTATAAACTATTTGGATTATAGGGCAAGAGATCAGATTCTGGGCCTTGTAAACCATATTGAAGAATTTGGGCTTCATCTTCATAGCAGTGGGAAACCATTGTAGGGTTTTAGGTAGAGGGTAACATGATCATGTCTGCATTTTAGGAAGATCACCCTGGCTGTGTTATGAAGTCTGGATTTGAGGGTAACAATATAAGGAGTAGGGAGATGATTTAGTCTAGGAAAGTAGCAGTGAGAATGGATAGGACTGGATGTTAGATTTAAGATCTCAGACAGAATCAGAAGGACTCAGTCATTGGATGTGGAGGGATAGCAAAGGATCGAGGTTTATATATAGGTTCCTGGCTTGATATTATTTGGAATAAGGATTGTTGATGGGGAAAGTAGGTTTGCGGGGAAGCTGATATGTTGAGTGTGAGGAATCGATGGGCATGCTGATGCAGTTATCTTTGGATGGTCAGGAGAGAGATACGGACTTGAGATGGTCCATTTGAGAATTATTAGTATGTAATTGGCTTATGAAGCCATAGGAGTAGATATGGACATCAAGTGGTGAAATATAGGTGCAAAAGTAAGGAAGACTGGTACAAAGCCCCAATAATATGAACATTTGCAGGATGGGCAGAGGAAAAGATGCCTACTGGGGAAACTGAGGAGTAATCCATTAAGTAGGAGGAAAACTAAAAAGATGAGGCAATAGCAAAGACAAGGAAAAGAATTTTTCATGAAAGGAGTGATAGTGTTCTCAAATGCTGCTGAGAGCTTAAGTTAGACAAGTTTTAAGAAGTAGTATCCCTTGAGTATAGCAACAAACTGAGAACTTGTACAAAACTTTGACAAGAGCAGTGTAAGGTAGGAATGAGTTGAAGGGTCTATGAGAGGTAAGAAAGTGATGAAGGTCAGTGGCTACAAGAAGTCTGGTGATACATAGAAAAAGATAATTAATTTGGTATGTGAGGTCAAGCAATTCAAATCAATTTTAATGGGAGGATTGGTGAAACTTATTTTTGGATTTTTCTGAGGCTTTAATAATGTCAATATGTAGGATAATATAAAATAAAGAAACACTTGAATCTTTGGAATTAATTCTGGCTGTCTCTGTTTTCAAAGTCAAAAATAGCAACTGGCTTGGCGCCTATGGCTCAAGCGGCTAAGGCGTCAGCCACATATACCTAAGGTGGCGGGTTTGAATCCAGACCCCGGACCCGCCAAACAACAATGACGGCTGCAACCCAAAAAATAGCCAGGTGTTATGGCGGGCGCCTGTAGTCTCAGCTACTTGGGAGGCTGAGGCAGGAGACTTGCTTGAACCCAGGAGTTGGAGGTTGCTGTGAGCTGTGATACCACGACACTCTACCCAGGGGGACAGCTTGAGGCTCTGTCTCAAAAAACAAACAAACAAACAAACAAACAAAAAAAAAACTAGCAACTGTATTTTTATAGGAACTATCTGACTCTGATACCTACAGTATGAAGGAGGCAAGAGGTATATCCTGGCTTTCCTCACTAGTCTTAGTTGTACCAGCAACAGTTATATTTTCTAGGGGCTGAACATCACATCATAATTGTTAGGAGAGTGTTATTTCTTTTTCTTTTTGAATGAGATAGAATCTTGGCTGAAGGAAGCTTCTAATGTACTCAGAGTCTTTAGGTGCCAGCTGAATATATGACTCTTAAAAAAAAATCATAGAACATAAGAACTCAAAGGACTTTAGAGGTGAGGTAGTTCAAAATCCTCTTTTTACTGATGTTTCAGTTAGTGTCCCAGTAGGAAATAAATGCCACTTTAGGGTATAACTGAAGAGAGTTTAATAAAGAAACTATTGGCAGGGATGTGGAAGCTCAAGTGAACCAACTAGGAAGGGCTCCCTTGCGAGGTGAGAAGCCAGTGTACTCTAGGAACTGTAGCTATAGAGAAAGGCTGCTAGAAATGCAGCAAGGCAGAGAAAAAGTCACACAGGTGAACACGGCAATGAGTGGGAATGGATAAGGGGAGTTATCCACAGAAGTCAGCCTGCTGGGGTAAAGAGAAGTGTAAGAATGGATGAAAGAGGAACAGGTATGAATAACCAGCCTATCTGATAAGGACACTAAGTCCCACAAGAAATTGGTGACTAATCCCTTCCCAAATTTTATTTTATATTTGCTATACTTCATTCAGTTACAGACAACAATTACTGCACATGCGCTATGATAAGTAGAT